GGATCGTGATAAGAGGCGATAAGTGAGTAATACGGGATTTGGAGGAGTGACTGGAGTTGGGGCGGGGGGGGGGGGGGGGGGGGGACGTATATTAGTTGCTTCGGTGTATAATTTGCAGGACTTGCAAGTTTTTGCAAAAAGGTGCAACTTATATGGCGAAAAATATGGTAACTTTAAAAATGCACTGTTTTTTTTTCCCTCGCTCATAAAATTTGTCATTGTTGTTTCCCTAAATAAGCATTTTGCTTTTTTTTTAATCTTCTGTTTGGAAGAGACATAAAAACCTAGAAATGTTGTGTTTAGTTATTTTCACCAAATGGATTTTTGTTGTAAACCTTGTTTTACATGACTTCACCCAGAGATGAGATGAGGGCAGTCACACCCTTTTTTCCTTTCTGTGACACCAGCACATAACTTTAACCTCCTCAGTGTTCTCAGCTGTTCATGTAGTTCGCTGTCGTGTTCTTCTCACAATTTGACAGACGAGTGGTGTTTGCACGTGCGCAGATCTGGGTATGATGTTAAGGTGGTGTTCTGCCTCACCTTAAGATCCTGGACACGTGAACGCAGAAGCTCTTGTTTATTGGTCTTGACACGTCTTCCAGTTTACGTCCCCCTTGTGACATGGCAACTTCTCTGCTTTTACTTTGCATGTCTGTGCACAAACTGCTAAAGAACAAGACTTCTTCCTTTATGAACATGTAAACATATGTGAAAAGCCAAACATTTCTTTGAGCAATAATTCAATTACAGAGCAAAATATCATAATGGAAGCACAATGAGGGGCCTTAGTGTCATGTGCTGCTGCAAGTTTAACATTTTCGCAGACCTCTGATAAACAATCGCTACAAAAATCCTCAGCGTGGCTTTCCCAGGATCGTTACAGCTGGAATAACAAGATGTGCTTTGGACTCTTATTTTTCCCAGTCACTTCATTAAATCTGGCACAGAGGAAACATAAACAACAAAGTAAATGCTTTTTTTTTTTTTTTAAATCCTGTTATTCTGTGACTGGTGCACCAGTAACCCCCCTCCGACAAACACAGATCAGCTCTCATGAACTTCAGCTCTGAAGCTCCTTGTCAAGTAAACCTGACGACATGCAGCCAACCAGGATTTGTGTCAGTGAGAATAAACCTGTAAACGTCACTTTATTATTATTTTTAACAACAAAAGGGTTTTAAAAAGACGAGGGCAGCAATCCATCCAGATGATTGATTTAAAATCAGAAAGGCAGAATCAGAAATTAGACATTTAATCTCAACATTTCTGGTATATTAAGTCCCACGCCTTACTGTGTGACTTAACCTGTTCCAGAACATGACTGAACAAAATCTTCTTATTCCCTTTAAGAGTAATAAAAAGGAACAACGGTTCAAAACATTTATCTTTTTAATGTTTTTGCATTTTTTTTTTACTGTACATTCATCCATCCATCCGTGAACTTTATCAGCTTCTTCCTTTTCAGGTCGCGGGGGTCACTGGTGCCTTTTCCAGCCATCACTGTGCAAGGGGAAGGGGACACCCTGGACATGTCTCCAGTCCATCACAGGGACACGTAGAGACAAACAAACATTCACTCTCTCACCCTCACCTACAATTTAGAGTTACCAGTCAGCCTAACATGCATGTTTTTGGTCTGTGGGAAGAAACTGGAACAGCCGGAGAAAACCCACGCATGCACGGAGAGAACGTGCAAACTCCACCCAGACAGGTCCCCCAGCCAGGATTTGATCCGGCGACCTGCTCGCTGAGAGGCGGCGGCTCTACCGACTGTGCCACCGTGCTGCCCTTTTACTGTAAATTCTGTGAAACAATAACTGATTAGATTTGAATCAAGACTGCAGCCACTTATGTGCAGCAGTTCAGTGATTTCACCCGAGATGCCACAGATTTGTATTTTTTTGGTTGATGTTGTGCAGCGCAGCACGGTGGTGCAGTTGGTAGAGCTGCTGCCTCTCAGCGAGCAGGTTACGCTGATGGATGGATGGATGTTGTGCGAGCTTGTTGATCAGAGCCATTTTAATATTTCTCTTCAGGAACACATTTTTTTGTGCCTCAAATGACCCTTCCTGTTTGAACAGATCACCTGATTAGCTTCGGTGTGATGAAACACTTCCCGTGTGTGACTGCTTCAGCTTTTGTTTGTCTGCAGGCGATGTCTCACGCACAGGACATGTTCTCGGGGGATGTATCACAAACGGCGCAGGGTTGCATGTCTTAGTATTACCTTCGCAAAAACATTCCTCTACCCACTCATTATCTCATTAAAATGATTATAACTCAGCCAAATATGCAGATGTGGAGCTCAAACCTGGTTTGACAGTAGCTGACGTAAAATATATTGGGTGATACGGATTCATTTAAGAAATGTTGAATCAATTATCTTACTTCTTAAGTGTAAAGAACATTTTATTTACTGACCCTTGCTGTGCTTGGAACAGAACACACCACATACAAAAAAAAAAAAAAAAAAAACTAAATTGAAATAACTTAAAAATCTAACCATAATAAATAAAAAAAGAACAAAAGGATTTTCATTCTTCTTTCAGCGTTCATTCCAGGACCTTTGTTGCGTTGCGTCATCTGGATGATGCAAAGCAGAACAACCAAGAAAATGTTTGACATGACAAAGTTTTCACGTTTATGTTCTTATTGCAGTCAGACCTCTGACACTTTACCCGTGACAGACAGATGTAAATCAAGGCCGTGGTGACAGAAGCGGGTCACCACAGACGAGCTGGCTTTTTGCTTCACGAAGAGTCTCAGCTTGTCCCTGAAGGTTTCCCCCAGAAAGCTGTAGATAATGGGGTTAAGGCAGCTGTTGGAAAACGCTGCCAGGTTAACAATGTGGCCTGTGAGTGGATAGTCGTGCCACAAGGCGGACGCAGCCCTCCGCGACGGGTTAGCCGTGCCCTGCAGCAGCTGGATGCTGATGAAGACGTTCTCTGGCAGCCAACAGATGAAGAACACCAAAACCACCACCACGATCATGCGCAGGGCTTTCTGCCGCCGTGGCCACAATCCACGATGCTTCTGGGCCCTCATGAGGATTCGTCCAATCAGTGAGTAACATAGACCGATGATGGAGAAGGGCACCAAAAACCCAATGGTCACCTCCAGCCACTGGATCTCAAAGACGTTTGCAAAGCAGAAGTGCACCTCCCCCCTGTGCTGGCTCTGCACAATGGTGAAGGGGAAAAGGGTGGCCAGGATGGACGCCATCCAGATCAGGCCACAGCTGAGCTTGGCGTGCTGCATCGTCCTCAGTGAGCTGCTGCTCATGGAGTTGGCTAACGCAATGTATCTGTCAAAGCTCATCCACGTGAGGAAGAAGATGCTGCTGTACATGTTGATCTGCAGGAAAAGGGACATGAAGGTGCAGAGGATGGCGTAGTCGTAATACTTCTCGTTGAGGTTGAAAACCTCAATGAGGGAATCGGCCACCAGGATGAGATCCGCAACGGCCAAATTAACAAAGTAGAGGTCAGGGATGGTCATCTTGTCTCTGTGGTTCAGGTTCACCACCAGGATTAGGATGTTGCCTATAAATCCAATGGGAAACAGGAGGATAGTGTACAAGCAGGACAAGAAGAGGCCGATGCTGTAAAACTGGTATTTTTCAGAGTTTTCACTTAAATCCGCGGCGCTGTTTTTGAACGAAGTGTTCTGTCCTTCTGTAGTGATATTATAGATCCAGACCAAAGACTGCCGTTCCATCCTGGCTGCTGTTGGCCTGCCTTAAATCAGAAACCACTTGTGAGTCATGTTCACCGGCTACATCATGCAGCCATCCCAGCTCCAAGCTCTTCAAAGGAATATTCATCTATCCTGTGTTGCGCCGACAGGAGTCAGGTGAGCGCAGTGAAACATTTATGGGATGCGTGACCCCATCTTGACATCAAGTTTCATCTGTCAGTAAACTCATGATGTAAAACAGCAACTCTTCCATGTCTTAAAATGGACTTTGCTCTGTGCCCCCGATCTGGCACATGGTCTCGACTCTTCTGTGCTCCGGAGATCAGACGGTGCCTTTTTCTCGTCTCCCTTTGAGTCATCTGATTGAAGAGCTCCCCAAGTACCTGTAGATCTTTATTCAGCAAGAACCGACCAAGGATGTTATTGCTCTGAGCTGTGAACAGAACGGAGGACAAATACCACGAGAAAGATGATTAGAATGAAGCGCTTGTTAAAACAGCTGTAGCAACGGAGGCACTATTTTAATAGGAAAAGTCTTATTTGAGGTCAAACTTCATCTTGATTTAAGATGAGCCTAATAGTTTTTGCTGTGAATAAAATGGAAAACACATCATTTATGTGAGCACATTAACATTCATGTTTCAGTCTTAAACAGATGCATTGAAATCTTTTTAAATCCAGACAGTCGAAACCTCCTCCAACCGGTTTGTCTAAACTTGATGACTATTAATTAAATTTTTTTTTTTTTAAACATCCTCGGATTTTTATTAATACTCACTAGATTTGTATTTCAACACTCATCATAAATAACTATAATTAAAAATGGTATGTTTTGTATTCAAAACACAGTTGATCATTTGGTAAAAATTATATTTAACAAGTTTTCTGGAGTGTATCTTCAACTGAAATAACTGCCTAAAATATTCACTTTTTTTTATAAAAGTACTTTTCAAACCATGAATTACTGCATTCACAAACTAGAAATTTGACTAAATACATTATTAATATAAAGACTTTAGATTTTCAATACATAAATCATATATCTTCTTGTTTTTTTTAACCAAAAATCATGAAAACATTACATATTTGACATAAATACAAACAACTCATTTACCAGTGTAATCGCATACTACTTTAGTTCTAAAATAAATGCACGGATGACACTTTTTAAAGCCTTTTATTTCATTTAAAACTAATTTAATCTTAAGTTTTTTTTTACACTGAGGTTATCTGAAATTATTTAATTTGTCTCCGGCAAACTATATTAAACTAAAATCCATCCCTAAAATAACTACAATCCAGATGTGATAAAAACAACTGGCTGATTAAAATACGCCTGACTTAATAAAAATAAATGATAAAGAAAGGAAAAGCTCAAAGACAAACAAAGATGGACACCTACTTTAATGTAGTGATTTATTGCTCCTTCGTGCTGGTCCAGTGTGGAGTCAGAAAGCCGGAGGTTTGTAAATCGAATGTCCAGCCTTCTCCTCTGCACCACCTACTGTTTGGCCCAACCCTGCCTGGTCATGAGACGAGGGCGGGGGCGATGCAGGAAGACAAGAGATGATCTGACCTTAAGTACTTTGACTGATTTTTTTGCCACTAATTTAATTTATTTATTTATTTAGGCAACTCAAACACAGCATGTGTACAACCTCAACCTGATTTCACCAAAAAAGTCTGAACAACAAATAAGTGCAGAGGGGAGACTGAATCCCTAAAGTCGTGTTACTATGGCAACCACTTGCATTTTTACAGGTGTATTTGTTTACCTGGGCGCTTCAGCTGTTAGTGTTAAATGCCACATGTTTTACACTATTAGTGTTTAGTATATTTCTTAGTTTATAGCTTGGATCTTTATTTACAGTTTCTTTTTACACTTTATACTTTTGCTATTGTCGGATGTGACTCTGTGTACACAATTTCGTTCCACCTCATGTACCACATGTGATGCGAATGACAATAAAACCTACTTGAACTTGAACCCATGGCTCTTGTTTTTTGCAGCCATCTGTTATAGCACAATAAACCAACAAGCGAAAAACACAGGAAGTATTTTAGTGCTCACTAACGTTTCATTTGCGATGTCAGAACTAATATTTCACGCCAGTAAGACCAAAAACGGTGGGCCTTCACTGTTAATAAAACAAAAGTAGAGCAGGCTCTTTGCTCCTGGGCCAGGTCTGCACTATCATAATTTTAACGACGTAATGTGTCCAGACTGTAACTATGGAAACCAACCTGCTATTGAATCAACACATAGTGCGTTTTTCACAGCTGGGATGGATTAATTGCAGATAAGTGCAATGATTGCAGACGTACAATAACCATCTGTACTACATGGATATAAATATGTACATTTGTTACTGTTGGACAGAAATTATAAAGAGTTAAAGAATCCATCCATCCATCCATCCATCCATCCATCCATCCATCCATCCATC